TAATCGTGAATTGTTGATGAAAAGATGAGGTGCTTTTGCCAAATCACATCTAATTTTTCAATGAAGTATGAAGCAGAGTCGACAGCTGAAAAGTAAAGAGTGAGTCTGTGGGAAGTCCGGGAAGAGAGAAAAAGGTAAGCTCTAGCTATTCCACAGAGTGGGAGAGTGAATGTACTCTGGATATTTAGCAAGAATGTCAGATAATAGTGTCCACTGATGAAAGCTGTCTATGAGAAGGAGAAATCTTACCAAAACCTATGAAAATAAAGTCTTTTCCTCCATCTATATCTACATGCTTAGGGTTCATACCACGGTTATAAATTTTTTTTTAAATCTCGATTTTTTAGATTACAAGAAAATCAGACAGAAACTAATAGACTGTAATTCAGTAAATTACAATGCGCTCAAGAAAACCCTGGATTAAAAACACAAACATGGGCCAGGCGTGGTGGCTCACGCCTGTAATCCTAGCACTCTGGGAGGCCGACAGGGCGGATTGCTCAAGGTCAGGAGTTGGAAACCAGCCTGGGCAAGAGCGAGACCCCGTCTCTACTATAAATAGAAAGAAATTAATTGGCCAACTGATATATATAGAAAAAATTAGCCGGGCATGGTGGCACATGCCTGTAGTCCCAGCTACTCGGAGGCTGAGGCAGGAGGATTGCTTGAGCCCAGGAGTTGAGGTTGCTGTGAGCTAGGCTGACGCCACGGCACTCACTCTAGCCTGGGCAACAGAGTGAGACTCTGTTTCAAAAAAAAAAAAAAAAAAAAAAAAAACACAAACATGCTAAAATTTCACAATGGACTTATATTAGGATTTTGCTAATGCATACACACATATTATTAGAAATATATCCTTACCTTGGTGTATCCCAAGAAATCTCTATATTCTCTTAATATTTTTTGGTTCCTAAACAGCCCTATAAGAATACGAAATAAATTTAGGTCATACATATTCATACCAGTTTAAATTAACGGAATTATTCTCTGTAAGACTATGTTAAATATACTCCACTAGCTACCAGCAAAAATATTAGTTATTAAAGAAATCTGGATTTGCAACTCTATAAAAAGTGGGCAAAAGACTTCAATAGACATTTCTCCAAAGACGATGCACAACCAACAAGGATGTGAAAAGATGCTCAACATCACTATCCATCAAGAGAAACAAACCAAATGAAAACCATTTGTGAGTACCACCTGGTACCCATTAAGGTGGCTACTACACACAAAAGAGAAAACAACAAGTACTGGCAAGGCTAGTGGAGAAGCTAGAACCTCTGTGCACTGCTGGTGGGATATAAAATGGCACAACTGCTATGGAAGACGATATGGAAGTTCCTCAAAAAAGAAAACAGAATTACCAGTAACGCCGCAAGCCCACTTCTGGACATACATCCAGAAGAACAGAGAGCAGGGCCTCACAGAGCCATTTACACAGCTACGTGCACAGCACCACTATCACAACAGTCACAAGCAAAGCAACGCAAACGTCCGTGGATGCACGAACGAATGGGTAAACAAAATGCAGGTATGCAAACAGAAAGGGGAATCACAGCAATGACGCTTCGCTGAGAAACCTAAGGATGCTCAGTCCAACATCATGTGGAATTCAAAGTTTTAGATGATCCTGTTAGCAGAAGCAACAGAAAACATCTCTGTGTCAAACAGTGAGTGAGGGGCCCGTCTCAGCAGCGCAGACGCTAAACTGGAAAGATGCGGACAGGATCGGCACAGCCAGCCACTGCGCAGGGATGGCACACAAGTTCGTGACGCGTCCCACATTTAAAATATTAATAGTGGGCATGATTCAAAATAATATGTTTTTAAAAGTACGCTCATTTAACAAATAAATAATTTTGAAATATTAACAAAATACTATTTCTCAATCACAACAGTAAGATTAAAATATGTATTTAACAGACGCTATCACCAAAATTTTACACCAGGTAGCCTACGGGTCTAAATCTAGAATATTATGTTTCCTTGGACTAAAATAAAATAGACTTCTAAGATCAAAATATGTGCTTTATGTTATCAAATATGTTATCAAATATGGAGAGGAGAAGATCTCCATGCTGTGTTACAAAGAATACAAAAAATTTAAACTCCATTTTCAAATTGTACCTTGAGTCTACTTTGACACAGCGGTGAGTCCTGCATTTTAGATACCACAGTAGAAGAAATGAGCAATCTTTAACAAACTGCAGATATATAAATTGCAGGAGATTTCTGAAATTCAGTTGCTTTTATTTCAATGATTTGTCGCCAAAACAAACAAAAACAAAATAAAGGCAATGTCCTTACGGATGAGAAGGATCTGGTGTTTGAACAGACTTACTGATGCCCAGTGCCAGTAACCCCTATGGAGAAGAAGGAAAAAGAGGTGAACAACCATTAGCAAGAGATGGCAAGCATAATATGACGTGGCTGATCTGGAGGGTGCAGGCTGACAGCCATAAGGAAACACGCTACACACGCACGTCCAATGGCCCAGCAATTCTGGCTTCTAGTGCCCACCTTAGAAAAATAAAGCTGAGCCCAAAGGGGCTCAAAACACCCTTGTTTATACTGATGAAAAACATGAAGGCAACCCACACATCCATTAATTGGGAATGGTAAAATAAATGACAAACCATAAACTATTTCCACAACAGTTTAAACGAACGGGGTTAGGGCATAGCTTTCTTTATTGACATGAATAATGCTCCCAGATATACCACTAAGTGGAAGGGGGAAAAGAGCAAGTCCTGAACGGTATGCACAGAACAGAACAATTCATGTTTTATAGTTTTTGTAAACTACATATACTGTAAAGCACAGGAAAATGTCTGGAAGAACACACATTTAACTATGTTTGCATCTCTGAAGAGAGAAGGAAGATTAAGCTGGTCTGTAATATCTGATCTTTTACAGGAAAAGTAACTTGCACAGCTGTACAAATAAAAGATGGTAAAAAGCTCAAACAGTATAAATTGCAGAGGGACACATACATTTCTCATCTCTCTCATGCAAAAGCATGCACAGGAAGTATATACTGCATTTTCTTTCTTTCCTTCCTCCCTCCCTTTCCTTTCTCACTTGTCTTCAACTTTTCTTCCTTTCCTTCTTTCATGTCTGTTTATTTGGTTTTTAAATTCTCATCCTTTGCTAAAGAGTTGTATCGCCGGGAGCCTCTCAGTTATCAGTACGCTCGCCCGTAGCAAGTCCCTTCTAGTCTCATTTGATACGAATCTAGAAATTACACTAGACTGCCTTCCAGAACTACTGAATGAAACGCAAAGTCGCTGAGTGAACTCCCGTGTGGTGTCATCTGACTGACACAGGGCTTTCCTTTCCTTTCGGCAAGACGCCAAACAATCACACAGGCAAAGCTTCCAGACAACCAAATTCCCTACAGATGGAGTTTCTCTGTGGGCTGTAACACCCTTCACAGAAACGTTTTCTCTAATAAAAATACGGAGATTAAACCACCTTGCAAATGGTTAAAGCAAATACATACTGGATCTATACATTTTTGATATTGGAAATCTTACCCTAAATATGTACAATATTTTAAGATATTTTTCTACCGAATTCCACAGGAAAAAAGGGGGTAAACCACCTAAAACATAGATGACTTTTCAGTGAATTAAACTACGAAAATGAATGCACATTAAGAGGAACGTATAATAGGTTCTCTTCAACCTGACTATTAAAATTGAAATGGTCATTATTAATTCACATGTATATATAATTATCATATACATACATATGTGTTTATATTTGAAAAATATTCAGGAAATAATTTCAAAAATCCTTAATATTCAGGCTCGCTGTGCAATTTAGTGTGAGCTATTATCATCTTTTTTATAAACTGAACATGGACCGTATTTCTTAGTTCTTATAAAAATCAAGTATCACAGATCATCCCACATCCTATTCTCCCTCAGAGGCAGGATAGAATCACAGTTGTGTTCGATATGTGTCCTACCGGGCGTTTTTTTCTGCACATTTAGAACATACACATGTATGTTCAGTTCTGTATATATAACCTACCGAGCAGCATCTGTTTGGTTTTCAACACAGTAAGCATTAATGTCTAGTGGCTAAGAAGCACTCTCAATGCACCCCACCCCACGACCACCCGTCCCTATTCTGGTGTTCCTTCAGTTCCACACCATCGAGCAGCTGCTTAAAGGGGGCCTTGAAAGTCCTTTCTACTTGTTTCATGTGCACATAAACTGCTTGCAGAAGACAGAGAACGAACTGTGGCTTCTTCTAAACACTCACTACATTGCAAACTCAGGTGCTCAAAAAATTCATGTGAGTTAACATTAAAGGATGTGCTGTGCATTATTTAGCAAAACGTTTTCCAAAATGAATTGTCACAGAATTTGCAAAACTAGAGACACAAGTTTAATTTAAAAGTTGGAAGTCTTTCAGTCTCTCAAAAAGTGAAGAAAAAAAATATTGTGGCATCAAAATATTACAATGAATCAAAATTTTTAAAATGTTATTATACGTCTCAAAAGAAACAGTTTTCAAAAGGACATGAAAAATACAATTTCCATCTATTCAATAAGGCCCAACAGAATTCTTTTTTTTACAAAGCCTTTTCAAAAACTCTAAGACATATTCTTAACCCAGGAGTCCTCAAACTTTTATTTACCTCTTGTCTTGTTCAGTCTTTTATAAAAATTCTTTTTTTCTCTCTGTATTTAGTATGGCTGGGTTCTATTGTTACATATGCAGATTCACAATCCCCCCACCACCACCCCCCATGTCTAATCTGCTGTTAATTCTATACAGCGAATTTTTCATTTCAGATACATTTTTCAGCTCTATTTGGTTATTTTTTCATACTTTCAGTTTCTCTGTTCAATGTGTTCATGTCTTCCTTTCAATACATAAACACAGTTGTAACAGCTATTTATATCCTTGGTCTGCTAACTCTATCATCTGTCAATTGAGTCTGATTCTACTGACTGGCTTTTCTCCTGGTTATGAATCTGATTTTCCTGCCTCTTAGACTGTCCGGCAGTCTTAATATTGGAAGCTAAACACTGCGAATGTTACACTGAGTGTTTTTAGATTTTGGAGTCTTCGTTAAGGACTGTGAGGCTTTGCTCTGGCCAGTCATTAAATTACTTGCAGATCAGCTTGATCCTTTAGAGCTTTTAGGGAGGTTTGTTAGGGAAAGTTCTAGAACAGCCTTTACACTAAGGATTACTTAACCCTACCACCAAGGTGAGCCTTCTTTTGGCCTAGGTAATCAGTGAGGACTCTCTTAGCTCAGCTGGTCAGAATGTGAAGGTATCCCAGCCCTGTGTGGACGTTAGGAATTAATCAGTTTATTGCTCAGTTTACTGTTCTGATGGTTCTCTGCCCAGACTCACACCCACACTTTGCACGTGTATAACTTGATATTTGGCAAAGGCTAAACTCAAGGAAATCCCTATGTAGACTCCTATAGCTTTTTGTCTATGCCTCCTTCCTCTGTGGAACTCTGCCTTGTAATTTCTAGCCACCTGAATTCAGATGCCTGGAATTCTGATTTCTGTCTTTTCTAACTCAGTGTCACTGTTAGCTCCTATCCTGCTCCACTATCCCAAATGTGCCCCCGAGCAAAAAGCCAGAGAGATCACAGAGTTCAAATCATTTGGCTCCCGTTTCTCAGGGACCATGGTCTTACGCTATTGTTCAATATACTTTGTCTAGGTTTTTTAGTTGTTTACAGCAAGAGACTAAATTCAGTCCCGGTTAGTCTGCCACCTGTTAAAAGCAGGTTCTCTATATAATATTTTGCAACTTGATTTTTTACTCCATTTATCATGGTTATTATTCCAAGTCGGTAAGGTCAATACAAAGCTATCTACCACATTCTTTTAAACCCCTGAATAGTATTTCAGAGTATGAACACTTAAAAATTGTCTTCAGTGTTTTAAGTAAAAACTAATACTGAAACTAACAACCTCATACATATCTCTTTGCCATATGTACAAATGTTTCTGCATTTCCATTTCCTATGTTCAGACAAGCTTTCAAGAAAACAGAGATTATATATTACAAATAATCCCTCTCCGCCCAGCCCCCACCACGACTGACTGGCAAAATATTATACAGATAGTAGTTATTAAATATTTGTTGAGTATAAAAATTAAACTCAAAGCACAGATTATCAGTACAATGACAAATGCTTGTCTTCTTTCCTTACTTTTACAAAGGGTTTTAATCCATTTGATAGTGAGTTAGGTGAGTTCTCAGGTTTAATTTTTAATTAATATTACTCTCCTTGCACCTTATCATTTTATTATTTTTAACTTTGTCTTAAATATTCATTCTTACTGTAACCCATGTCTTTCACTGCACTTCTCCCAAATTTATTCTTACATAAGAGGAGTATAAATAACTGAAAAGGTATTGTCTTAACACATCACACTCTTTAAAATGTAAAATGATACCAAAAGTAGACAATTTTACCATATTATTTAAAAAGGCCTTGGTTTCTGGTATTCATAATTTAGGCCAAAGGGGGCTTAAGAGTTATTTTTATTTCATAAAAATTTTTCATTTGCAAATTCAAGAAAGTAATTCAAACTACTAGTCTAATATAAAAGCATTTTAATCACTTACATGTGACAATTTTATGTCTTTTCTCAAAAAAGTAAGTTCACTGGCTCTTACATTCATTAAGAACTCATATTTGGAGATCGAATTTCTACTCAATATAAAAAGCTCTTCTACAAAAGCCTCTACCCAAACATTTAGTGATTGATCATCTTCTACTTTACATTCATTTGTTGGAAGTTCTTAAAGCTTAACAACCTGCTTTAAAATACCATCACTGTATTTTTTTGCACTTCATCGCTGAAAAGTAACACTATTTTCATTTTCTTCCACGAGCCAACTACATGAATCATTCAGCTTTTAAACAGATCAACTTTTAGATTAAAGCTTAAGCTTTCATCCTCACCTGATTACAAGTATCAGATAATGAGTGTATAGCTTCTGAGAACATACTTGCTGAACCCGTATAAATCCAGGCAAGAAACTTAAAGAAGCAGTTTAACCCATTGCTAGGAGAAAAAGAGAAAACAATTTAGCGTAGGCTGGGATAAAAATTTCTACCAAAAGCTGATTTCATCAACTGTACATACCTCTATACCAGATTCCGTTAAAAATAAATTTAAAAGGATACTTAGCCTTAAAGAGCATATTACTACTTGGGTTACAAGAGGACACACTCGAAAAATACACAGTACCATTAAGTACTCAAATGAAGAGGCATGCCATGTGTAAGCAAATTACTTCAGTGCATTTTGAAAACAGATGAGAAAAGAGTGCTCTATAATCCGACAGGGCGGTATTTAAAAGGGAGCTCTGTGTTTTAGGCAGGTAAGAGGAGATCTGCACTTGACAGCGTCCGGCGGGCCAGCGCCAAAGGCGGGGTTTCAGGGAGGGCGTGTTTACCAACAGGCAGATCCAGAGGTGAGGACGGTGTAGGAGAAGCCGTCTCAGGGTCACAGCAGAAGACCAGAGATGCTCAGATAAACACGGCTAACTGTGAGGACGCGGGCTGCACAGACCCCAACAGCAGTGGCTGGCACGATCTACCTCAGGCATCACGCTAGTGATGCGCATGTTAAATCGCAACTCCACTGTACAGATATAAACACCCGCGTTTTATAGATGCGGGCACTGTGCGTCCCCTTCTAGCTGCCCCTCTTCCGCCTCCTCCATCTCAGACAATTTCTTGAAAAAATCGTATCTACTCTTGCTGTCTCAGTTTTCACTTTTTATTAAGTCTTCAACCCACTAAACAATGGCTTCTTGTCTTCATTATCTTATTAGATTGTTCTTCTCAATACCACCTACCATTCCTTGCTACTAAATTATTGGAAACATTTAAATATTTCCCTTAACCTCTTGGAAGCATATGCCACTACTTTCTTAAAATATTGTTTTTCCTTGGCTTCCATGATACTCCTGGGCTTTCCTCCTACCTTGCTCGCTCCTCTTCCTCAAACTCATCTGTGGCTCTTTTTCCTCCACCCATTTCTTAAATGTTAGCATTCTTCAAGGCTTTTTCTTGAGGGCTTTTTCTTCCTTACGCTATGTATACATTCCCTGGGTGATCTTAACTACTCCAATGGCTTTAATTATCAACTATACCCTAGTAACTCTCAACTCTAAATCTCTAACCCAGACCTCCCCGCTGAGGTTCAGACCTATGTATATTTGGTATATACATCATGTACCAGGCACTGTAAGTAATTTACATACATCACATACATTCTTCTAATAAGGAAAGATATAATCACTATCCCTGTTTTACTGAAAAGAACTAAACCTGTTGACTACCTCCACCTGGGTGCATATACACACCCCAAACTCAAACATAAATTCATCACTTTCTCTGCTCCCACCTGTCCCTCCTTCCAATCTCCTCTCAGTGAATGGTGCGATATTTATCCAATTATCCAAGAAACCTGGGCACTATCTTGACCATGCCATCTCAGAGCAACTTGAGCCTGCCCATGTCTCTCTATTTGTACCACCACTATTCTAGTTATTCCATCATCATCCTTTGTCTGTATTCTTCTAAATGCCTTCCTCTAGGTTAGTGCTCGCTCTTCCAATCCTTAAAGAATTACCTATCATATCTTTATATTTCCACATCCCATCACAGTATCTGACACATATTATATATATATATACACACATACTTAAAAATATGTAGTTAGAAAGATACTGAACGTTCTCAACACAAAAAATAATAAATGTTGGAGATGATGAATATGCTAATTACCCTGATCTGATTCACTGTACTGAAGCATCACTATTTATCCCACGAATATTTACAATTGTTATTTATCAATTAAAAAATTTTTTTAAACAAATTATAGAATTAATGCTTTCATATATCTTAAAATAATCATCAAAATGGACAAAAGGTAAATAAAACAATAGGAATCAAGAAGACAAAGGTAAAAAGAAAGAAGCAAAAACATCAATTATGTTCTTCCCAGGTTAAGTGGGAGAGAAATAACAAGTATAAAGATATTCTTCAGTAGCTGTAAGCTAGGTGCATTTAGTTACTCTAAAAGTAACCTTGGTCAATCTAACTTCTGAAAAAAATACTTATTAACTCCCATAAAAATAAGAGGATTTTCAGGTAGCAATTATTCTTAGATCTCAATCGCATTAAAAATATACAGAGCACAAGACAGTATCTACACGAACTCATACTCTTCCCCCTAACACTTTACTGAAAATAGACTTATTTAACTTCTTCCTGAAACATAAACCTTGAACGCTGTAGCTAGCTAGCAGGTAGCAAATTTATATATTTAAAGGTACATACATTAAAAAGAACATATTCCTGTTTTAACAGGCTTATTTTGCAATACTTACATGCAAATGGCAACCATCACCACTTTTCCTGGTCCCTTAAAGAACACCGATGCTGTTGGAGAGCGTGGCTGCAAAATAACAAAAACAGAAAACCTCCAAAATTTCCCACAGAAGCACTGTAACTGGCGGCCCTGACACACCAAAAAACTTCTCCTCGATCAAAACTTCTGAACAACTAGTGTGACTTATTTAATGATTTGTCTCCAAACTCTCCTTTAACACGTTGACTGTCACACACAAAATAACAGAAACTTTTCCTTGGGGCGACAGTGCTTTATTATGAAAACAGAACAAAAACTTCAAGTGTAATTTAAAATAAATATAAACAGCAAAACGATATCTATTGACTTCTATTCATTTAATCCATGCTTTTATAATTAAATTGTCAATACTAATTGTAATGAGAAGAACATCAACAAGTAAGATTGTATATATGCTTTTTCACATGGCCCCAGGGTCAAAACTAGAGTGAGTTAAATACAACTCACATGGCACTCAATGCGTTAAAAGGCCTATCTGGATCCTTTTCAAGTACCTTGCTTATTCTGTTTCCTTGTCATTCATGTCCTGCCTACTTATAGAAAGGATCTGAGTTGGCTACATAAAAGCTAGTAATAAGGTGATAAAAATGCATCGAACTAAAATCCATACACTCTATTTTTCCCATTTCTTAACCAACTTCTTAGCTTTAAAAAAAAAAAAACAAAAAAAGGAACAGCCAAAGCCAGCAAGTTTGCTGCTCTAATTCAACTCCTGACTGTTCTCTCAGAAAGAGAGCTCTGTAGTGAAAACAATATGTTTAATTCCCAAACAGACCAAAACAAAAAAAGAACAAAACAAGTACGGATATACATTCCTGGAAAATTTTCCTTGAGCTAAATTTTCTTTTGCTATTCCCTGAATATATATTTTCTTTGGCTTTTCTCATATTCTCCCCTCCCCCTGGAATGCCTTTGCCTTCCACTGCAATCTGAGTTTTACCCACCCTCGCCACCTTTCCACATAGAGCCTTCCTGGGTCACCCACGCAGAAATACTCACTCTGCTGCGAATGTATTACTGCACTTCACACTTTTATTACAGTACTTTATAAATCCTGCCTCACTGACATCATTTATTCAGGAAACACATCTTGTGTGACTACTACACACCTGGCACCGTCTGGATGCCGGGGCACGACAGTGACCAAGACAGAGCTCCTACCTGCACAGGTCTCACAGTCTAGGACAGGACGACAGAGACTAAACCCACAAGGAAGTGCGTAACATCAGACAGTGACGAACGTGATAAAGAACACAAAGCAGAGCACTGAGAGAGTGCACCGCAGCAGTGCAGAGGGTGTGTGGTGGGAAGGGCCATTCTAGCTAGAGCAGTCAGGGAGAGACCCAATGACGAGAAGGAGGTGATCATGAAAGGATCTGGAAGAAGAATGGTTCAAGCAGAATATGCAGCAAGTTCGAAGACTCCGGAACAGAAACAAGTCTCATGTACAGAAAGGACAAAAATAAGAGCAGCACGGCAGAAGCACAGAGAAAAAGGGAAACGGCAGGCGCTGAGGCCAGAGACGTACAGGCAGGGGCCATATCCCACAGGATTCTGTAGGCTGCAGAAAGGATTCTGACCTGTGTTCTATGTCAAGTCTCTGCTTAAAATTATCCAGTGACAATTCTAAGCAGAGACTTGACATAGTCTGATTGATGTTTTTAAAAGACACTGTTTATAATGTGGAGAAACAGCAAAAGGTGGAGAAATCAATTAGGAGGGTATTCAGGTAAGAGATGATGATGGTTTAGACCAGGCATGCAGGTGTTTCTGCCCGTTTGTTTTTTCACTTCAAAATAAGATATGTGCAGTGTGCATAGGAATTTGTTCACATTTTTTTTTTTTTAAGCTATAGTCCGGCCCTCCAACAGTCTGAGGGACGGTGAACTGGCCCCGTTTAAAAAGTTTGAGGACGCCTGGTTTAGACTAACGTTTCAATGAGGAACATGTTAAGAAAAAGTCACACTCGGAATCTATTTTAGAGAAAACGCCAGTGGGACTTGCTGAGGGAAGAGACCCATAAAGAATCTCGAACATCTGAACACTGGATAAAGAAGCACAGTCTTTTGCAAAGGAGACAGAGGAGGAGGAAGAATTAAGAGAGTGCAAGAAAAAACAAAACAGGAGAAAGATCACCTTGAGCTCCTAGGAAACAAGAGGTTCCGAGGAGGAGGGATGCTCTCAACTGGTGGCAGACACTTGACCTCTTCTGCCCTACTTTTCTGACTGCCGTGGGAGGGGTTTCTCTCCCGCCCAGCCTCCGCACGGCGGCCCCCTGCGCACGGCCCTCCCCTCCTCCTGCCAGCCCCCCGGAGGCGTCCAAGTCTGGTGAGGACGGTCGGCTGGTGAGTTTGAGAGGACGCTGGGCGTGCTGAGCTCCCCCACTCATTTTAGGGCTTGTTTCTTTTATATTAGGAAAAGTATAGAAAATGGGGATAGATTTCAGAGAGGACTACCAAGAAAGGCAGCATGAACTGCTCAGAGCATTACTGGCACATTTCAAGGCAACACTATTATTGTGGAGATGAATATATTCAATGGAGATAAAGGTACTTCCAGTTCTCTAAAGGACCATACCAAGAAATACACAAAATCAGAAGCATAAGGGAAGGCACAGGAAAGTGGAAACCTATTAATGGGGAAACGCAGGAAAGGGACAATGAGAAATTAGATGTGAGAGGGTTAGTTTTTGTTCCCCTGAGAGAATGCTGTTAGCAGAGCCAGAGCACCGTGACTTCACGCATCTCATTACTAGAATTCCCATGAAACAAAAAAGAACACAATAGAAAAACCACCGTCTGGGTCAGAAATAAAAAAAGAAGATGCTTAATTTCAGCAAGCAGGATCAGCACTGGGTTTTAGGGCGGGAAAGCAACCGTCTTCAGCGGAAGAGCAGCATCCCTAAAAGAAACACGGGAACTACAGAGGGAAATGAAATACCTGTTTCATCCTATTAAAAAAAAAAAAAGGTTGTAAGAGATAAAAATTCTATTCAAAACCTGGAACCTTTGAAAGCTGAGGCGTATTTATCAGTCGTCAAGAGACCTCCAGTAACACAGACTTCAGAAGTCAACAGCTACGACTGAAAACTCCTGGTGAGGGCGACTCCCCAAGTGAAAGTGATGAAAGGGCGTGCTGACGAGGAGAGAAGCCTCCCAGGAGGCAGGTGTCGCCCTCAGGTATCAGAGCAGGAGGCGGCAGCAGCTGAGGGGCCCCCAGAAACTCAGGGGTCAGAGGGAAAGTGGAAATTAAGAAGTCTTGAATACAATGAATGGCAAAGAACAGTATATCGAATTTGTTGATGAAAAGATGAGGTGCTTTTGCCAAATCACATCTAATTTTTTCAATGAAGTATGAAGCAGAGTCGACAGCTGAAAAGTAAAGAGTGAGTCTGTGGGAAGTCCGGGAAGAGAGAAAAAGGTAAGCACTAGCTATTCCACAGAGTGGGAGAGTGAATGTACTCTGGATATTTAGCAAGAATGTCAGATAATAGTGTCCACTGATGAAAGCTGTCTATGAGAAGGAGAAATCTTACCAAAACCTATGAAAATAAAGTCTTTTCCTCCATCTATATCTACATGCTTAGGGTTCATACCACGGTTATAAATTTTTTTAAAATCTCGATTTTTTAGATTACAAGAAAATCAGACAGAAACTAATAGACTGTAATTCAGTAAATTACAATGCGCTCAAGAAAACCCTGGATTAAAAACACAAACATGGGCCAGGCGCGGTGGCTCACGCCTGTAATCCTAGCACTCTGGGAGGCCGACAGGGCGGATTGCTCAAGGTCAGGAGTTCAAAACCAGCCTGGGCAAGAGCGAGACCCCGTCTCTACTATAAATAGAAAGAAATTAATTGGCCAACTGATATATATAGAAAAAATTAGCCGGGCATGGTGGCACATGCCTGTAGTCCCAGCTACTCGGGAGGCTGAGGCAGGAGGATTGCTTGAGCCCAGGAGTTTGAGGTTGCTGTGAGCTAGGCTGACGCCACGGCACTCACTCTAGCCTGGGCAACAGAGTAAGACTCTGTTTCAAAAAAAAAAAAAAAAAAAACACAAACATGCTAAAATTTCACAATGGACTTATATTAGGATTTTGCTAATGCATACACACATATTATTAGAAATATATCCTTACCTTGGTGTATCCCAAGAAATCTCTATATTCTCTTAATATTTTTTGGTTCCTAAACAGCCCTATAAGAAATACGAAATAAATTTAGGTCATACATATTCATACCAGTTTAAATTAACGGAATTATTCTCTGTAAGACTATGTTAAATATACTCCACTAGCTACCAGCAAAAATATTAAGTTATTATAAGAAATCTGGATTTGCAACTCTATTAAAAAGTGGGCAAAAGACTTCAATAGACATTTCTCCAAAGACGATGCACAACCAACAAGGATGTGAAAAGATGCTCAACATCACTATCCATCAGAGAAACAAACACAAATGAAAACCATTTGTGAGGTACCACCTGGTACCCATTAAGGTGGCTACTACACACAAAAAGAGAAAACAACAAGTACTGGCAAGGCTATGGAGAAGCTAGAACCTCTGTGCACTGCTGGTGGGAATATAAAATGGCACAACTGCTATGGAAGACGATATGGAAGGTTCCTCAAAAAATGAAAAACAGAATTACCAGTTAACGCCGCAAGCCCACTTCTGGACATACATCCAGAAGAACAGAGAGCAGGGCCTCACAGAGCCATTTACACAGCTACGTGCACAGCACCACTACTCACAACAGTCACAAGGCAAAGCAACGCAAACGTCCGTGGATGCACGAACGAATGGGTAAACAAAATGCAGTGTATGCAAACAGAAAAGGGAATCACAGCAAATGACGCTTCTCTGAGAAACCTAAGGATGCTCAGTCACATCTGTTAGTCATTTAACAAATAAAGTGAGCGTGATTATCAAAAAAAGTATACATTTTTTGTAGTTATTAGCATTTCTATCTCTAATTCAATCTTGCCACATTACCATGTTAAGTACCCCAGAGTAAGAGAAGAATAAGTGTAGTGCAAGTATCTAATTCACCAATGAAATACGCCCTATTAAGACATTTGATCACTGAGCTTCAAGACAGTGAGGCATTGAAAGAAAAAAAATTGATCTTATCCTGCATTAGCACTTGTACCACCTATAAAGGAACCAAATGGAAGCCATCAACTGAAAAGTACATCAAAATTTCTAGTACTACCTGTCCCCAGTATGTATTTCCCATTGAAAATAAACATGTCACTGCTGTGGATTGAAGCGCAGCTCTCTTTAGCTTGTCTGTGGATAAAGACAGCCAGCTGGCCATGGCGGCACACACCTGCAGTGAGTACACCTGTAGTCCCAGCTACTTGGGGAGCTAAGGGAGGAGCACGAGCCCAGGAGTTCGAGACACCAGTGCACTGCGGCTGGGCCTGGGAAAGGCCACTGCAGGCCAGCCTGGGCAACACAGCAAGGACCCCACCCCAAACAAATGACCCCTTGTCTGCTTCTTCTGAGAAGCCAAAAACCCTAAGACACTAGAAATTCGCTGACTCCTCCACGCTTTTCAAAATGCCAAACCAATGATTTAAAGAACTTGGATTTTGTAAGGATAACTACACTTATTCACGTCTAGATAATTTAATATTATATATTCCAGGCCACAGGGATCTCAAATATATTCCTTATTCCTCCTGACTAGATTAGCTGGAAAGAGACATAACATTTCCAACTTTGTCAAGAAAAGGAATCATTAGCAGAAAGTCAACCACTTTCTTTGCCAGAATTAAAGCTATACAAGAACATCCTAGACCTTCAACCAAGTGGCAACTGAGAGTGTTATTAAGACCAACAGGTTACTGCAGGCAATGGACAGCTAAATTTTCTAAGTTGACGAAAACAAATATTGTAACATTTTAGATATGCACTAGTAAAATGGGTGAGGTTTAGAGAGGGGAACAAACATGAACAAGGCTGGCTATGTATTTGAGGGGTTATTATACATTCCTCTGTACTTCTGCCTATGTTTGAAACTGCCCTACTAAAAGGGGTGGGAAATAAAATTTGAAAACAGATTGTCAGAAAATATTTAGAACATATAAAACTAAATGTTAAAATCCACCAGAAACTCATTAAAATCAATTTAAAAATTGACTTTTAAATCACACAATCTAACAGAAGAATGAACGAACAAGTTATAAAAATTATTACAGAAAAATGAAGAAAACCCAATAATAAAATAATCAACCTCAGCAGCAATCAGATATATTCAAAATTAAACAAGGTACCCTCTGTTTCCTATGAAACACACAAAAGTTAAAACATATGTCAGTATCCAGCACTGACCAGGGCCTGAAGAAACAACCAGCCGCATACACCATGAGTGTAAATGTAAACTGGTACCATATTTCCTTCGGAGAGTAATTCTTCAGGGATCTATCAAATTTTTAAATGTCTGTGCCATCTCACCCTGAAATTGTACTGTTAACACTCTAACCTACATAAATAGTCACAATAATTATCTCGCATGTTCAAAAAATAGCATGAGAATGTTCGTTAATGTCGTCTTTGTAATAGTGAAAAAATGAAGAACATAAATCTTGTCGCATCCAAAGCTACAATGCAGATGTTTAAAAAAGAATGAGGTAGAGGCAGGTTTCTATATGCAGATATGGAAAGAGGGCTATGATTGCACTGCTATCTAGAAACAGCAAGGTGTACAACAATGTGTAGGGTATCACCCCACCCCATTTACGTTTAAGTGAAAAAAACACGTGTATGAAAATTTGAAAATGCACTGGAAATATTCTGGAAGGGTATACACAAAACTGTCAACAATGGTTCTCTCCAAGAGGGAAAATGAAACAGTATTAAAGAAAATGAAAGACTTCTTATTCTTTGTGTTTTTATGTTCTTTTTAAAATCACAAGTATGCATGATTTGTCGTTAATAAATATATGCGTATGTAATTTAAAAATGTATCTAACACATATTTTATATTATCCTAAATCTAAATTCTATAAAGGTGGCTTTGTCACTAATCCACTAGACTGTTAAATTCTCCCTAAGAGTATTATTTTCAACTAAATCTCAAGCAGCAAGCACCGCTTCTTGTTCATAATAGGTGTTTGATAAATACCTGCTGAATGAATAAATTAATGTGGTAGCTGAATTAATAGATCTTTCTGTAAGAATGTATCTATTCTATCACTTTTATAACAAGTATAATTTTCAAAGCAGACTGTAAGTTTTAATGGTCATATGTCTTACAGAAACCACAAACTGTTGTTTCTCTTACTCTCCTTCTCTACAAAAAGCTTTAGAGGAAAACAAAGCAAAAGGAAATAGATTCTGTCTTTATAAAATAATTGAATTCCAAAACGGAAACTGGTATTTGTTGGAACAGAGAGAGCCGAAGCCAGAGGTGTGCAAGCACGAGAGAGTGCATGGTGACTGCAGGCCCAGATCTCACCCACCCGGTACTTTTCAACTAGCTCAGCTTTAAACTGAATCTACTCACGTTCTCTATATTCTATTTCTGCTTCCTTACGCAGCTTTCTCTCTCTGGCAAGAGCCTCAGGGCTTCCCCAAACTTCCAAAGATCTGTGTATACCACAAGGAACAATTTTAGTGACTTTATTGTAATCACATTTAAATCTAAATGAACTATATGAGACCCTTACAACAAAGCATAAAGGTCCTTTCAGGAAAATATACAGAACTTAGGGAACTTTTCTGAATTAAATCTAAACAATAAAAGTCAATGGTAAATTTTCTTATAAATTATGACATATATTTAGTTAACTAGTATATACTAAATAAGCCCCCAGATAAACTAATTTGCAAAAACAAAAATATTTTTTAAAATATATCATTTAAAAAATTCTGAATCTGTCTAAAATGTGTGTTTATTAATCTCAAATTTTGTCTGCACTTTAGTTCTAAAAGAACTGTGCTCTTACTTTGCTTCCACATCTGATCTCAAGTATACGGTGAAGGACTCAGTGTCTTCATGGGGACTTCGTCGTCTAATTTTTCGAAGTTGTTCTAGATCACTGGAGAAAGAAGCATGTTGAATTTATCCAGGCAAGGTGCATACAGCTTACGCACTTAAAAGGATTACTAAGGGCAGGTAAAAGCAACTACACTGATCCTCATCTTCGAAGAAAATAGATCTGTATAGCTTTTAAGATCAGTTTAAAGACAGCATACAGCATTTTGTATACAAAAAAAAAAACTTTTGGAGACAGTGGGGGAAAAAAGAATTATTCTTGATGCTCAATACAGACATTGTAACATAACATGTGGAGATTCAATTCCCTCCTCAGTGCTTGGATTTTATCTGCTACAGGCATACCAATACCATCTTTAATGTATGAAAAAATGTGAAAAGTGGAAAGAACATAGAGAGTATCATCCCTCTATTTAAGAATTTAAATTAAAGATTTACAGTCATATTTACTTACATCCAGATTAATACTAAATGGTAATATCCATTCAAAGGTATCAAGTCATAAAAGGGGTATATGACAATTACATGCAATTTAATTATTTTCTTTTCTCTTAAATTCCGAAAGGTTTATATAGTCATCAAGACACTGTGAAACAGTCATTTTATATTTAATCACGGGTCTTCCTAAGGAAGTTTTGTAACAGCAATGAAAGGACTAGAAATAAAAATCTGGTGACTAGCAAATGTCATTAAGTTCTAGAAATTAAACGTAGATATTTTAAAAAAGTGAACAGCCATCACATGTTAGTTAGAAAGTGTGGACGAGATACTAAAAGGTATGTATCCTCCGTCACTGGCTGACTGAGCTGGGCAAGTCACTAACATCTTACACTATGTTTCCTGGCCTAATAACGTGGAAACCCAATCCATGTAACTCACATCTCTGTGAGAACTAAAGGGAACACTCTATGTAAAACAGAATGTAGTTTTACATCAATGTTGTGACTGGTTGTTGTTATAAAATGTATTATAGGACCACTTCTTCACACCATACCACAGAGGACATAATCATGACAGAGTGGAAAAAGGATAGATCATCTGACTTCTCTAAATGGCCCACAAAGGAGGGAGAAAAGGTTAAATTTGTAACAAATATGATTTCAGTAAATCTCTATGAGAGAATTGGTAACAAAGATATGAGAAAGAAAGTAAAAATAATTTACACTCAACAGGAACCATAGTTGGAGTGAACATAATGTACCCACTAAATTAGGTACTCAACTCTGCTAGCCAAAAATACAAACTTGAAAAAGTCAAACATAAATAGGCAAATAATCTTACTGATAATTCTGCCACATGCACTGACTTACAATATAACCCTAAGATTGTGTGTGAGAGACATATTTTGAAGAATTTGACTTTGTGGATTTAAAAAACCGAGAAAAGACTGGAATTGCTCACGGTGGAGCAGAATTCAGTTTAGTAACAATTTTAACATTTTTGACTGAATAAAAATCTGTCTCCAATTTAGGAAGGAGCTGGTAAAAAAAATTCCACATATAAATGATAGCAGGTAACACATTCTAAGATTAAATTTTTTTAGGTTATTTAGACAGGACACATTACGACATTTTTTAAAAATCACCATACCTGGATTTAAGGCAGAACTCGTTTATTGCTCTGACTCCAGTGATGAAATTATTCTGAGTGTACTTTGATCCATACTCCCTTTTCTTAAGGACTGCTTTAACTAAACCAAAAACACAGGAAAACATAATAAACATGCACACTGAAAGTCACATGTGAAGATGAATATAGGCTGATACTTAAGTGGGATCACTAGTGAATTCCACAGAAAACTGACCCTTTTCCTGATGCACTGAATGACAACAAAAATAAAAAATTCTCCAAGTGCAGTATAGGATGGAATTATTACTTGTAGCCCTCTAGCTTTTGTCTCCATAGCTGACCTACAACTGATGCCAAAATGCCAACCCCTTGTCTAACGGACATTATACTGGTTTGTCTAAATCATAATACAATTTAAACTGCTTAAGGTCTAAGTCAAAATAAACTGATGTTTCAATAAAAAATTACAGGCTTGAGTTCAGTGTTTTTCAAACTGTGAAGTGAAACCAAGATTTTATAAAAAGTGATAATACAGAGTAATCAAAGAGCATTGCATATAATTACAAATAAGTTCTTTTTGTGAAAACTTTTATTTCAGTAATATATAATAAGCTATATTAGGTCACTAAGTATTAATAGGATTTCTTATATGTGTTGCCGTCAAAAAAGTTTAGAGCCACTAACCTATTTCACGCAATGTAACGAAATTGAAGTAAACAAAGGAATAATTTCACCAGCTAAAAATTATTAGAAGTTTATTACAGGTTATAGTTAAAATATTGCTTCCTACTAAATTATTTTTCTATTGTCAAGTATCAAACTGCTTGTAAAAAGGCCAGAAACATCAGCAACAAAATACCAATCTGGCATCAATTATAGTGAGTTAAAAACTATACGACATTGGTCTATGTTAATAGATCATTGTAAAGTGAGACTTTTGGTCACATGATATAGATAAATAATTTGAGCAAATGTCTGAAGAACAAGAGCAAAATAACAGAAACACATGTGTTCTGTTTCAAACTGTCACCTGTTCACTTCATGTTCTATTCTCATGTCTATTAGTTCATAGTTTTCTATTCTACTTCCGAGTTGTAACAGCAAATTAAGCCTAAACTTATTCATCACAACAGCGGGTACAAACCTCCTAAAGTAGCACATTAACTACTAAAATTAAATGCATATTATTTAATAAGAATACTTTAAAAGTGAATTTCAATATAAAAATTAAAATCTTATCTGAAAAAAGTATATAAGTGAGTTCAGGTTTCTTTTTGCATTGAATTTCAGGTCTCTAAGCTCCCTTACTCCAATAACCCTAAAAGTCAAAATCCACGTGAGCTCCTCTGGAGCAGAAAGGAGAATTATACCTCTCTTTTAAAAGACTGTTTTTTTAAAAAAAAAATTATTAGCTTTTAAAAAATTTCTTCAAAATAACTAAAAATTCCTGTTGGCCTATCCCTGCCCGGATTGCTGATGATGACGACAGCTGTCACAACAACGTTCATTACTCCTAACTGTGACTGTCTGCTATGTGTAATCTTCAAAGTTACCCGAGAAAAGAGGTCTCGTTTTTAGCGCCATCCTACGGGGGAGAAAACTAAGGCTCAGAGAAGCAAAGTAAACCGCCCAAGGTCAGACAGCTAGAAAGTGCTGGAGCCACAAAGCGAACCCAGGCCTGACTGGCGTGGAAGCCACGTGCTCCTGACCACACGCTGCTCCACCAAAGGGCTGCCCCGCAGAGAGAAGCGCGGCCTGCCACGCGGGACAGGCCGCAGACAGGAAGCCCTTCAGGGCTTGACTACACTCCTGGAGAAGGAGGGCAGACAAGAACGGCCAAACCCTACCCGGATTTGAGCAAGCAGCAGCTGAAAGGTGCTGGCCTCCTGTTCTTTAATCACATTACTCTTCTAAAAATGGCAAAGCAACTGATGACTCTTACTTGCCATTATCCCTACCTTTTAGGCTCTTGGAAAAATGTGTGACAAAATGCAAACTAAACTTCAGTGGAAAATTTGCTTATAAATAAGAGAATAAACCCTATGGTCAATCTATTTAAATAAAAGTAAAAATGAGCTATATCCTTAGAATAATATAACTATAAAGCACTCCATATAAACTAATGTTATATATTTAATTCAAAACATCATTATAATAAAAAAAAAAGAATGAAATATATTTACCTCTTACTTGGAGAGGGTCTTGCTTACGTGGAGCTTTGAGTTCTGCACCTATGTTTTCTGCTGTAAAGTATATTAAAACAAGTTTACATTAAAAAGCTGCTTTCATACAAACCTATAAACTTAATTCACCAATGTATAAAAAAGATAGTATATCATAAGCTGTGCTGGATTTATCCTAAGAATGCAAGAGTAGTTAAATATTACAAAAGCTGCTTATTCCCCTCAGTAACCAATTAAAGAAGAAAAACTATAGAATCATAGCAGGAGCTAAAGAAAAAGCATTTAATAAAATTCAACATTCATGCAAATCTCAAACCCTTTTAGAAAATTAGGACAGAAAGGAATTTCTACAAAGGGTAAAACAAACCTATAACATTGTATTCAATGGTGAACATTTAGATGCATCTTTTACAACAAGAAACAAAAACAAGAATGCAGTTAATTCTTCCACTTAAAAAAATTCTAGAGAGGCTAGTCTACGAGGAAAGCATGACTAGTAAGTGGTGCTGGGACAAATGTACAATTCTTCACCCACCAAAAACAACAACAAAAAAAAAATTAAAAGGAATTTGGAATCTACCTCCCACCAAAAAACAAACAACAATTCCAGGTAGATTAATTATTTAAATGTTTAAACATTTACATGTCTCATAGTAGACAACAGGGAATATCTTAATGGTATAGAAAGATTTCTTGAACAAGATAACAAACGGTGTAAGGAAACTTGTATAAATTCTGCTGAATTAAAATTCAGAACATCTATTCATCAAAGAATCCCAATCCCATAAAAGAAAGAGAAAAAAGAAGCCACAACTGGGAGAAGACATTCCTAACAATTAGAATTAACAAAGGAGTAGTATCATCACGAAAATAACAAGCAATTTATTAGAAAAAAATGGGCAGAAGGACAAACTTGTACACGGCTGAGCCAGGCAGCTCACACATTTAAGTGCCCCCGAAGGTAGAACTTGGGGAAGCCAAAGCAGTAGGACTGCTTGAGGCCAGGAGTTTGAGACCAGCCTGGTCAACCTAGCGAGACCTCATCTCTACAAAAAAGTTTTGAAGATTAGCCAGGTGTGGTCGTGCATGCCCCTAGTCCTGGCGACTCAGGAGACTGAGACAGGAGATCGTTCGAACCCGGTAGGAGTTCGAGGCGGCAGTGAGCTGTGGCTGTGCCACTGCACCCTAGCCTGGGTGACAGCGAGACTGTCCCTTACAGTATTAACCACAACAACAACAAAAACTTGCACGGAAAAGGAAATACAAATAACCTATAAACATATGAAAAGATGACTGCCTCATTACTGACAGAATCCAAATGAAATCACAAGATGCCATGTACAGCTACTGAGCTGGGAAAAATGAAAACGTGACAATGCATAATGTCGGCAAGCAGAGTACGAGCGATGGAAATGCATGCACTGCTGGGGGAACACAGGCACTATTATTCGGTAAACAAGCTGGCATGATCTAATATAATGTATGTCTGTGACCCACCAATTCTTCTAGGTCAATCTGTTTGGCCTTGAATAACCCCTGCACGAGGCACAAGGAGAGAGTAGATGAATGTTAAGAAAGCACTTTGTTCTGTTGTAACAAACCGGGAACAACTCAAATGCCCATCAGCAAGAAAGCAGACAAACAAACCCTGTTATATCCACACAACATTTCACACAGCCGTGAATGACAATATACGTGACAACAGCTATCTTTCTCACAGCCCAACACCACTCCAGGCACTTTACATGTACCAATTCATTTAACTCACACCACAGCCATGAACAGTACATGCTTTAATTACCTCCAAGAAAATTAATAAACCAGACACATACATCAATAGGCTAAATCCTAGCAACAAAATTTAATGAAAAAAGTAAATCACGAAATAATACCTATAATAAACTATCACAATAAAGTTCAAAAACAAGTAAAACTAAACAATTAGGGCTATACACATACATAATAAAGCGATTCCCCTTTTTTCACGTGGATACATAGGGCAAACGCAGATGTGAAGAGAATGTGATCAAGAAGGTAAAGTTCTTAGCTTGAACGGCAAATTCCAATGTACTGATTTTATTATGTTTTCTTACCTACATACACATTGCAATAGTCTGTTGTATGTGTAAAATATTCTGTAATGAAAATCTTACCCTTAAAACATCTTCATTTGTATTTATATCCTCATTCAATCACATTTGAGAGTTTATCAATAATAGCTAACATTTACTAAGCATTTAACATGCCATGTGTTGTCCTATGTGCTTTATATGTATTACATCATTTAATCCTCACAACGTTGCTGAGGTAAGGTAAGCAGTATTATCTTCATCTTATGAGGAAACTGAGGCACAGAGGGATTGCTATAACTTCCCCCAAAGACACACAGCCGGCATTTCCCTATTACCAGGAAACCGAGGCACAGCGAGGCTCTGTAGCTGCCCCCAAAGGGCGCACGGCTAGTGAACACGGAGGCACAGCCAGGATTGAACCCCACGTCATTCTGATCACAGCATTTGATTTACGTGCAGGTGTTCACGTATTCCCACAGGAGGAAAGAGGGGAGGAGAAGCGGATCCTGGATCAGCAGCACAGGGACACCTGGAGCCGCCAGACAGGAGCAGTGTCTGTGAAGGGTGAGGGTGGGGCAGTAGGCTGGGGAGGAAACGGGAGATGAAAGGAAAGCAGTATCTGAACTCTCAGGAGGAGCTAAAGAGGAGAATGCAACCAAGAAAAGTGTTTTATACAGATGGAAATGACGCAGCCAGCAGGGAGGAAAGGTTGGCACAGCAGATTAAGAGGATAATCCCAAGAGCAAAGTCCTTGGGCAGATGAGATCCAGGATACAAGGGAAGTCTCTGAAAACACGTAATGAAACAAGAAATTAGCTGTGTTTCCACACACTTAGAAGTGCACTTAAATGACACAGAACACCACTGAGTCTGCCCACTTGGTTACGACACATGTGGACTTTTGCTATCTTACTGTCTACTTTCAGTTTACCATCTTTTTTCTTTGCTTTTATTTTACCTTTCCTGCCATGTGTTATACTGATAAAGTTTCCTATATTCTCCTCCTACCCCATTCCCCAACTGTAGGTTTGGAATTTATAAGATATTTCTACTGTTTAATTTTCCATACATACTTTTCTGTAAAACTTTCTAACCGTCTGGAAAGCCATTCAGTATCCCATTTTATCCGTTTCTTGTTCTTTCTTGTCTCTTTAACATCTAATCCCTTCTTTCGATCTGGTTTACTCTGAATTTAAGAAAATAAATACTTTGGCCGGGCGCTGTGGCTCACGCCTGTAATCCTAGCTCTTGGGAGGCCGAGGCGGGCGGATTGCTCAAGGTCAGGAGTTCAAAACCAGCCAAACTGCACACTGAAAGCCACATGTGAAGATGAATATAGGCTGATACTTAAGTGGGATCACATATGAAATAGAAAATGACCCTTTTCCTGATCACTGAATGACAACAAAAATAAAAAATTCCCATGCAGTAGTAGGATGGAATTATTACTTGTAGCCCTCTAGCTTTTGTCTCTAGCTGACCTACAACTGATGCCAAAATGCCAACCCTTGTCTAAGGACATTATTACTGGTTTGTCTAAATCATAATACAATTTAAACTGCTTAAGGTCTAAGTCAAAATAAACTGATGTTTCATAAAAATTACAGGCTTGGTTCAGTGTTTTTCAAACTGTGAAGTGAAACCAGGATTTTATAAAAAGTGATAATACAGAGTAATCAAAGAGCATTGCATATAATTACAATAAGTTCTTTTTGTGAACTTTTATTTCAGTAATATATAATAGCTATATAGGGCACTAAGTATTATAGGATTTCTTATATGTGTTGCCGTCAAAAAAGTTAGAGCCACTAACCTATTTCACGCAATGTAACGAAATTGAAGTAAACAAAGGGAAATTTCATCAGCTAAAATATTAAGAGTTATTAGGTTATAGTTAAATATTGCTTCTATATATTTTTCTATTGTCAAGTATAAACTGCTTGTAAAAGGCCAGAAACATAGCAACAAAATACCAATCTGGCACATATATAGATGGAGTTAAAACTACTGACGACTTGCTATGTTAATAGGATCATTGTAAGTGAGACCTTGGTCACATGATACTAGATAATAAATTGAGCAAATGCTCTGAAGACAGGCAAAATCAGAAACCATGTGTTCTGTTTCAAACTGTTCACCTGTTCCATTCATGTTCTATCTCATGTCTATTAGTTCATACGTTTTCTATTCTACTTATCCCGAGTTGTAACGCAATTAAGCCTAAATTTATTCATCACAACAGCGGTATCAACCTTCGCTAGTGCACATTACTACTAAATTAAATGCATATATTTAATAAAATACTTTTAAAGTGATTTCAATATAAAAAATTAATAACTTATTGAAAAAGTCATATAAGTGAGTTCAGGTTTCTTTTTGCATTGATTTCACGTCTTAAGTCCCATTACTCCATACCCAAAGTCAAAATCCACGTGAGCTTCTCTGGAGCGAACAGCGGAGATATAGCCTCTCTTTAAAAGACTGTTTTTTTAAAAAAAAATTATTAGCTTTTAAAAAATTTCTCAAACTAACTAAATTCCTGTTGGCCTATCCCTGCCCGGATTGCTGCTCGATGACGAAGCTGCTGTCACAACAACGTTTCATTTACTCTAATGCATGCATGTGCTATGTGTATTTAAGCTACCCGAGAAAGAGGTCTCCTTTTTAGCGCCATCCTCACGGGAGAAAACTAAGGCTCAGGAAGCAAGTAACGCCCAAGGTCAGACAGCTAGAAAGTGCTGAGCCAAAGCGACCAGGCCGATGGCTGTGGACAGGCCAGTGTCCCTGGACACAGCTGCTCCACCAAGGGCTGGCCCCGCAGAGAAAGCGCGGCTGCCACGCGGGACAGGCCGAGGACAGGAAGCCTTCAGATTGACTACACTCTGGAGAGGCAGACAAGAACGGCCAACTACCGGATTTGAGGCAAGCAGCAGCTGAAAGGTGCTGGGCTCCTGTTCTTTAATCACATTACTCTTCTAAAATGGCAAA